ATTTACGAGGCAAACACACAGAAATGCCATATACATAGCCCGATTTAATTAAAGTTCCAGATTTTTTTTTAATCCGATGCTAAGTTATGTACCTGCTTTTGACAATAATATTTAAACCCTTTATACAATGTAGTACTATTTTATTATCAGTAGCCGAGGGCTATTGTTTGAAACCGAAAAGAGTGTAATAGGTGTTTTAAAGCAGGGTTTCTCAAACTTTTCTGATAAGAGGTAAAGTTGGTTTTATATTCACACATTCGTTCATTTAGAAGTCTCTATATTGTTTACCATGTTACTTTGAATATTTGATCGGAATTAGCATGCAAGTGTGACTTGAAAACAACAATAGCACTGTTTATTTGACTGTGAACAATGTTGTACTTTGATAGTCATTTGCTGCTATTATCATTTCGCTATTTAGAGTTTGCAGATAATACTTTAATGAAATTATATCATTAAGGGGAAAGTCTAAATGTGCGAATATAAAACCAATTTTACCTCTATTTTAAAAGAAATGTTTTACCTGATTTGTTTTTGATAATTAAAAGAAACTGTTTAAGCAAGTGTTGAAGAGAAGTTATTTTGTTTCTGTTCATTGTTTTATTTATTTTAAACAGGACAAAGTGTCCAAACACAGAGAAAAGCTCCTGCTGAAGCGACTGATCTACACACTGTTATAAAGATGGTGTTTATTAAAGAGGAGAGTGAAGATGTGAAGATTGAAGAAACATTCACAGTCAAACATGAAGATCTACAGGAACAAACAGGTTGGTTTTCATTCTCAAAGACCAACTCAGTCATTTGATCCTCATTCAGATATATTTTAATAATAAGAATACTAAATTAAATCCATCTTGCAGCGCTGAGTGTGCTGCCTAGAGGTAAAGTTGGTTTTTTATTCGCACATTCGTTCATTTAGCTGTCTCTATATTGTTTACCATGTTACTTTGAATATTTGATCGGAACTAGCATGCAAGTGTGGCTTGAAAACAACATTAACACTGTTTATTTGACCGTGAGCAATGTTCTACTTTGATAGTCATTTGCTGCTAATATGATTTCGCTATTAAGAGTTTGCAAATAATACTTTTATGAAATTATATTATTAAGGGGGAAGTCTGAATCTGCTAATATAAAACCAATTTTACCTCTATGTGTGCTGCCTAGTTCTCCTAAATGCACATAAGCACTCATTAAAAGACAGAATGAGTTTCTTTCGTTACTTGTTCTCATGTCTTTTGTCATTATTTTATGTATTATTAGTCTCCCATTTTCTCTACCTTCTTAAGGTTATTGCTTTCTTGTTCTTTTGCTGTTTGTGAAGCATCCTTGGTGCTTTATAAAATAAATAAAAACAATAAATTAATAAAAGGTTTAACTAAGCTGATGATATTTGACCTACAGTATTCTCATAACAGACTTAACATTTTAGGCCTTAAAAAGTCTTAAATTTACTGAAATGTTGTGCTGTATTGTGTCTTTTTTTTCTTTATTTTCCTTTGTTCATGTTTTTCTACCCAATCTGGACAAAACCAATTCAATCACCAACAATTCAACTTAATAAAACTTTTAACTTTTTATTCAAAAAGGTCTTTTTAACTCTATTTATCATAATGGTTTAATTATTTTCCTCACAATAACATTTGTTTAAACGTGCTCCATGTATTTACTGCTGTGGATATCAACCTGGACAGATTGTTGTGCATAGATTTAGTTTGTTATAGTTTTTAAAACTTTAAAAACATTTGTTCATTTTTTTAGTTTTAAAAATAAATTTTATATTGATGGGGCAAATAAAAATCTTTTCCATCTGGGCCATTTGAAAAGTTCTTTAGCCTTTAGCCCTTTATGAGTCTAAAATTTCATTCAAAATGGTCTTAAAAATGTCATAAAGTCTTAAATTTAACTTTGTAAAACCTGCAGAAACTCTGGTTTAAAGTATGTCAAAAAATGTGGATGCCCCAATATTGAGCATCCTGAATGAAATGGACACTAAAATAATTAATTGTTATAAAATATTTTAGTCTCAGAATATAGACCATATTCTTCATGCACCAACAGGCGGCGCCATTGGAATCTTTTTGCTTGAGACTTTTTTAAAGAATAAATTTTTAGATCCTAAATATCAGTGTTATGCGGCTGAGGCATGGGGCAATAACTATATTCAAGGTTTACCGCAGTTTGGAAAAGTCAAAGTTTTAAAACCGCCAACATTACCTGCTGCACCGTTCCTACAGTATATGTTAGGTTTTTTTTTATGTTTTGTTTTTTAGGACAACAGTATCTCCTGCAGTAAAGACCAAAGAGGCTGTTTTAAATCGTAAAGAAATCTGTGATTCATTTCAATTATTTAGCCTGACATGTTTACTGCTCAAAAATATTTTAAAAGTGTCTCAGAAGAAAATATATTTTAGGATATCATACTGTCAGAATTAATACTTCTATTAATCAAATTCTTTCTTTTTCATCAGCTTTGAAATAACCAGATTCCTGATACATATGTTTGTGAATTTTATTTTGTAAGTTTCCTTGCGTGCTATACCAGCATGCAGAGAGTTTTGTGTGTGTGTGTGTGTGTGTGTTTAATTTAATCCAAGGATCAAGTTTATATGTCTGTGCATGTGTATGTGGGTGTATGCATGCAATAGGTTTATATATGTGCAAGTGTCATACTTGTTTTGAACATAGTATATGTTTATTTGCGAGAAATTTATAGGTGTATATTCATGTGTAGACATGCAAAACCCTACACTGCGCCTCATAGCCTTCTGTTGTTGGTGTCGGGAAGGTGGATGGTGAGGCGACAGGTTGACTTAAACTTTTATGAACCTATTTGATGTGTTTACGATGCTAGTCGGCATCGCTCTCTCGCACAGTTTGCAGAGCGCCGAAACAAAAAGTTTATCGGAACTTAAAAAGCCGAATGGTCCACATCAACTACTTTGTCTGCATTCTCACTTGTGGAAGCTTGTTCCTCTATATCTGTATTCAGGTCGCTCATTTTGTAGCTTTCTGTGACAGAGCAGCTTAACCAACTTCTGAGCGCTCTCATCACGCAAGTGACATCATGCTCATTCTGAGCACGGAAAGTCATTTAGTGACAAATGATACAAGGTAGAAAATATATAGATAGATAGATAGATAGATAGATATGATAAAACATATGTAAAACATATACACAAATGTATGGAAATATCGGAAATGGGTTTAAAAATCATATCACCGTTATTGAAAAAAAATCTATCGTGATATATTGATATTATATTATTGTCCAGCCCTATGTTAGATATAGAGAACAAGATGAATTAAATATCACTTTTAGAGATTAGATCCAGCGTAACTCGTAACATCAAAATGGAAAAACCATTGATAAATAAACCCACTTCTTATTTACTAGTCTGTTATGAGCCATATCATACCTCTTGAGCCTCCGATCTCCTCCTGATTTGCAGTTTCTGTTTGTTTTTTGAAAATGTAATTGTCTTCAAATCTGAAAATATATTTTATTTTATAGTGTGAGTTGTTATTCGATGTGATACGAAGCTGCAAGCATGTTCTTTTGGACAGAATTTTTAACTAAGGTGTAATGTTGTCCAGATACTGGAATTTCTGACTTCATTACTTTGCTATATATTGATGTTCAATAGGCTACTATTTTTGATATAGTAACAATTGTTTCAAAAATGGTACAAAAAATTATTTCTAAAGTAGAAAAATGATTTCTTAAGTTTTTTTTCCAGTTTTCCTCAAAATAGGTTGATGTGGGCATTGTAGCACTTTAAATGCATGTAATGCCTGTTTCATTTAAACTTGGACAGAAATTCCATATATGCCTCACAAAAGTAGCAGAACATTCCAGGAAATCCCTAATATGGATGAAGGCATCCAGCTATTGCTGTTGAATGAAAATAAGATCTGAATAAATATTAAAAGGCTTCAACTGATCATTTAAACGACTGGGCCCATAAATGGTTTATATGTGTACTTCCAGCCATCTTAGGTATATTTATAAGAAAGTCGATTTATAATTTATTGCTAACTGACGTAGCATGTTACAGTAGAATATAGCTATAAAATAATATGCTAGATGCATAGATGCTAGATTATGTCAAAATAAGATGTTTCCAAATATCAATCCGTTTTCTAAAACACCAAGTTTTGACCAAATTAATCCACAAAATCAACCCAGAATGGATGAAAATTACCCAACAGCACACAAGGGGAAAGGTGCATATTTCAGCCTTTATGCAGATGCTGTACAGGTATGTCTCATGTTTGTGAGACAAATGTTCAGCTGTTTGTTCAACTGTTACCTCAGAACTTTTTTTTTCCGATGCGTTTACCAGTCAGGCACAGAATGAACAAGTATTCCCTGTCTGCTTAACAATTTTAGAAAAACATTTTGTTGTAATTCTGAATATATACAAATAAAAATAGGCCACTTACAGCTTTCAAATCTGTGTCTTATCAATATGACCAAAATGACTTTTAAGAGAAACTCTGAAAACTGGACTGACACAGTTTCAATTTACTAGAACTACTAAGTTAAGTGGCTTAAGCACAATTTAAATTGTAAAAGCAATAGATGAAGATGAATTGAATCTGCTTAAATGTGCACACGTTAATGGACTGAACAAAATATGGTCTGATTTATTTTACATTTAATGTGCATCAAAATTACAGTGTGTGTAGCCAATATTTCCTGTGTCTTTTCACCGTTACGCTTTTGATGAGATTTTTAAGACTTAATGAAAACTGTTTTTTTTTTTTTTTTTTTTAGAGCTAATTGAAGAGAATGAGGGGAGTAAAGAAGAGGAACATGATGTCAAAATTGAGGAAAAAACTAATTTACAGACCAATGGTATTTTGAAAAAAAGAGACGAAAATCGTTTCACCTGCACTCAATGTGGAAGGAATTTTGGAAGAAAAGGCGATCTTACGATTCACATGAGGATCCACACTGGAGAGAAACTGGTCACATGCACTCAGTGTGGGAAGAGTTTCAGCAAATCATCATCCCTTAATCAACACATGAGGATCCACGCTGGAGAGAAACCATCCGCATGCTCCCAGTGTGGGAAGAGTTTCAGTTGCTCATCTCACCTTAATAAACACATGAGGAACCACACTGGAGAGAAACCATTCTCATGCACTCAGTGTGGGAAGAGTTTCAGCTACCCATCAGCCCTTAATAAACACATGAGGATCCACACTGGAGAGAAACCATTCTCATGCACTCAGTGTGGGAAGAGTTTCAGCTACTCATCATCCCTTAATTACCACATGATGATCCACGCTGGAGAGAAACCATCCGCATGCTCCCAGTGTGGGAAGAGTTTCAGTTGCTCATCTCACCTTAATAAACACATGATGATCCACACTGGAAAGAAACCATTCACATGCACTCAGTGTGGGAAGAGTTTCAGAAACTCATTATTTCTTAAACAACACATGATGATCCACACTGGAGAGAAACCATTCACATGCACTCAGTGTGGGAAGAGTTTCAGCCGATCATCATCTCTTAATCACCACATCATGATCCACACTGGAGAGAAACCATTCACATGCACTCAGTGTGGGAAGAGTTTCATACAATCATCACAACTTAATCTACACATGAGGATCCACACTGGAGAGAAACCATTCTCATGCACTCAGTGTGGGAAGAGTTTCAGACGCTCATCATCTCTTAAACAACATATGAGGACCCACACTGGAGAGAAACCATTCACATGCACTCAGTGTGGTAAGAGTTTCAGACGCTCATCTCACCTTAATCACCACATGAGGATCCACACTGGAGAAAAACCATTCACATGCACTCAGTGTGGTAAGAGTTTCAGACGCTCATCTCACCTTAATCACCACATGAGGATCCACACTGGAGAAAAACCATTCTCATGCACTCAGTGTGGGAAGAGTTTCAGCAAATCATCATCCCTTAATCACCACATGAGGACCCACACTGGAGAGAAACCATTCACATGCACTCAGTGTGGGAAGAGTTTCAGAAACTCATTATTTCTTAAACAACACATGATGATCCACACTGGAGAGAAACCATTCTCATGCACTCAGTGTGGGAAAAATTTCAGCAAATCATCATCCCTTAATCACCACATGAGGACCCACACTGGAGAAAAACCATTCTCATGCACTCAGTGTGGGAAAAATTTCAGCAAATCATCATCCCTTAATCACCACATGAGGACCCACACTGGAGAGAAACCATTCTCATGCACTCAGTGTGGGAAGAGTTTCATACAATCATCACAACTTAACCGACACATGAGGATCCACACTGGAGAGAAACCACTCACATGCACTCGGTGTGGAAAGAGTTTCAGCCGCTCATTAAACTTTAATCTACACATGAGGATCCACACTGAAGAGAAACCATTCACTTGCACCTAAGCCACGGTTACACTGGGCCTTTCTCCCTATAGACTTCCATTCATATGCACGCAAATGCGTCAGATTGTAAACGCAAGTTTGTGGGTCAAGTTTTGCAGTTCACTGCGTTGCAGAGTTCAAGCTTGGTAAACTCTGACCTGCGAAATCGCATTACTTGACTGTGCGAGACCAATCGAAGATCAAAACTTACCTCTCTGGACAATCGCTCACTTTTTTTAATGTCTAATCATCTTGTTTAATCCCGCCCCTTTTTGCAGCACCATACAACAAAATGTTGCATGCTCAAACTCTAGTGTAACCGCAGCTTTGGTGTGGGATGAGTTTCAGCAGCTCATCAGAAATGAACCTGTTAAGCTTTTGGGCTATTTTGGGTATTTCCGCCTGAATTTGGCCTTCCGATTTAAAAAGCTTTCCATAACCACATGCATAGGAATAAATACAAAACTTTGGTATCATTTTAAAAGAAATCCTTTGAAATTTCATATAATACTGTTTTATATAAACTGAAGTTAAAAAACGTGGAACTCAGGCCTTGTTTGCTTCATCAAAATTCCATTTTTTTTCCAGCAGGTGTCAGTAAACACAAGAAAAATACATTTCTCTCTATAATAATGCATTCAAGAGTTATTCTATTACAACTGGAAGAAGGTAACATGTAAAAAAAAAAGTATTTCCCCCTACCTAAATTTAAAGTCTCACCACACCCACATACAGTACAATAAATGCAATATCTTAATGTCATTTTAAAGAAAACCCTTTGAAATTACAAAAAACACTGCTGTTAAATGCTAACTATTAATATATATGTTTTCTGTCCTATGATGAACCACCTCAACACAAACAGCTTTGTTTTTTTTTTGTTTTGTTTTAAAGCCAGCCTTAGTGCATAACTCAGGCCCTGTGTGCTCTATAAAACTGAGGACAGTTTTTGTTTGTTACCAGCATATGTCAGGACGCACGAGAAAAAAGAATTTTGTCTTCATCATTTAGTATGCAAGAATCATTTTAGTTCAACCGAAGGGTGGGAAAAAACAACACAAGTTTCCTACCTGTCAAAAGTGAAAAACAAGATATTACAAGGGTTATTATCACAAAAATCATAATTTTACTTCTTCATAACCACATCAAAATCATAACAATATATCAAAAAAGCAAATAGCCCAGTAAGACTTTTTTCCATTTTATTTTTCAATGTCCAAACGGCCTTCACACTTTAAATGTAAAATAAATAATGTACAAATATATATAAACTGCAATAATATATATATATATATATATATATATATATATATATATATATGTGTGTGTGTGTGTGTGTGTGTGTGTGTGTGTGAATTTTTTTTTTAGAAAAGTAATGTGCAAAGTCTAACAAAAGATTTTGAAAAATGACTAGTTAAAAAAAATGTCATTTTGTAAATACGTTATCGTATTTTTTTGAATTTTGGAATTTCATGACCCAAATTTATTGCATTTGGCACTTACAAGACATAGAAGGGGATTACTCATTTACACAAGAACAGAAAAAGCTGAAAATGGACTAATTTTGTTGTGAAGAACCTAAGGTAAATGATGATGTAGCTTGTTTGGCTATCTGGAGCAGCGCACAGAGCAAATAGACAATAATTGCCCTTGTATGTTTATAAAATAGGAGTTCATACCTTATGATTTATTCAAAGACTTTTGGACAAGTGACTGTAAATTGTTGTGGAAAAAATATTCTGGTCTGCTAAATATTCAACGCGTAGCTGTGCATTTATACTTCTGTGCACTGTCTCTGTTGGTCTGCATTAACACTTCCGAAACGCTAGTTGGCAGTGAGGTGTAAATGTTCCTCTGTGTCGAGTTTCTTCGCTGGTGCTTTGTTTTTCCTGAACACTTCCTGAATGTACAAGTGACTCAAACTTGCTCTTTTTGAAGCAGAAACCGGCGGACGTGCAACAACTTTACTATGAAGTAAACACAAAATAAACTTTTTATCTGGAGCTTCCTCACGGGACTCCACACTTGTAAACAATTGCTCTATTGGGCTTGCGCGGCTCAGTCCCGCCCAGACTCGTCAGCGCTACTAAGCTGACCAATCACAGAGCTTGCGCTACGCGTCGTTGTGATGTGTAGTTACATTTTTTGAGAGGTGCACGTCAGCGATTGCCACGGCGTAGGGCTATGCGTCAGCGACGTAACATAAGCATGGGCTTGACGCAGAAGTATAAATCAGCCTTTAGAGGGACTATATCAGAAGAAAGTCTCTTTCCAAACCCACAACCGGAATGCAGCATAAGGTACCAACATATCAGTACAATCAACCTCACTAATGCAACAAAAAGTTGCCTTTCACAGTCTTTACCAAATGTCAACATCCCTATGTTGCACTCCAGTGGAGAGGCGGAACCAAACATCTCCCCTTTATTTGATTAGAAAGGAGTAAAAGATACTGTCTCCTGGTCTTAAGATGATTGCTCCCACGTTGCCAGACGTACTACTAAGTACTGTCTGGTGTTGGAGCGAGCAGCAGGCTTTTAAGCCACCAGTAGAGCCTATTCTTACAGTATTCGCCAGCTTTGAGATGATCGTTGGTTCCATTAAGCACTCAGTTCAAGTCCTCTTTCCCTGTGAGTATGTGAACCCTGCAGCTTCGATAAATGTCCATTTCATACCCAGAAACATAACCAATATAGTATTAAAAGATAATATTGTAGATTATAGGATTAAAATCCTTAATTTCAGGTCCTTCTGTTTGCACTTCTGTCTCGTAGCACAGATAATGACCTGCTTGAAACCCTTTTTTCATTCGTGTCATTCTGATAACAAAGAACAAGAGAGGAAAAATAGAAAAAGAAAATAGAAAACAACATAAGAGTACTTGCATAGTATAGTAATAATTTTTGGCATATATATGTAAGAGTCTAAGTGCCAAAATAAAAAACTAAATATCCTCTAACTACCTGCCTACACTATTCATTATTCTAAAGGTCTGTCTACGCTTGAAATCAAAGAAAATAAAATACATGTTATACACTATCTCCCTTACTTTTCCACAAAACAGGAATAACATAAAAACAAGAACTACGGCACACTCAAAAACAAAAGAAAAAAAAGGTTTGATATTAATCCAACCAAGTTTGTGGTAACGTTCTCATAAACGGACCAATCTAAGGATTTTGGAAGCATATTTTCATAGCCATAGTCACTGTTGAGGTGGGCTTGCACGGTTCCTTGTACTTGCACAGTAACCATGTGTGTGGCAGCAGCACTGTCTAGCATTGATCTGATGAATGACACAACACAGCAACAAAGTTAAGCAAAAACAAGTATGGTAACCTCCAAGTACTCTACAACTTTATCAACCATTGTCCCCAAGATCCAAATATGGAGGCAAACCAATTACTCAAGTGTTTGTCTTTTCCAGCATTTTCCTTGACTACTATCCACCTCTGGAGTTTAATTTTTGTAATGTTGATGCAGCAGTGGTCCCCTTCAGCTTATCGGTCAGCTTTTCCCTTTCCAGTAAAGCTGAGAAGTCGATTGTTGATAGGTCTCATTCCATTATCCGATTGTCCTTTATCTGGGGAAAGATTATCTCTTTACTCATGTTCACATATGCATTCTGTATTATCATTGACAGTAGCATGATTTCCTTCCATAGTAGGGTCCTCCTGTTGTTCCCCAGAGGCCGGCGGTTTTACATAAATCAACAGGTCCGCTGTTTCTCCTCCAACCAGTTCATGTTGTCCATGTTGAAATTCAAGAGAGTCATTACTTGTTATATGCTGCTTATGTACTTCCTGTGCTAGATCGCAATTATTTTTACTGTTTCTTAGCTTAGGAACTCTGGTACAATGGTTTAAACGGTACCAGGTGTTGTTTTTGTTTTGAACTTGTAATGCAGTTGATGTTGCTCTCACTACTGTATAGTAGAGCTGGGCGATATGGCAAAAAAAATATCACAATAATTTTTTACATATCAGTTACTCCCCAATTACTTAGTTTCTGTTGTATCTCATCATCTTGTATATAACTTGGCAAGTTCAGAAAAGATACCATTTTTTCTGTTGCACACAGCTTTTTCACTTCACATTCTTCTCCATTAATCATCAGTCCGTTTATCAATATCTCGCATTTTTTATCACTTTCCATTGTCAGCTCAAATTCATTATTGTTTTTTCTTCTCGGTCCAAGTAGTTTGCCAATCCTGACTTTGTCTTCCACTACTTTAATTATGTTGTTTATAATTGAGTTTTCAATGTCTCTTACCATCATTGTTAGTGTGGCTTCCTTCTTGTACTCTCTTTGATACCTTGCTTGCTTCTTTAGTTTGTTCAGCATCTGTTGTTTTTGACTTAAAGCATTCCTTTGTCCTTCAATATTCTTTTCACTTTCAATACTTGCATTTGATTGTAGATCCCCTTCCTTTTCTTGGCCACCTCCTTTTCCTTCTTTTTTCTTTGAAACAACTGTTGCCCATGTCTCATTGCTGTTTTCTCCGTCATCTTCATTTCGAGTCCTTTCAAATATGTTTGTAGGATTTCCTTGTTCCCCGTTCCTTGGTTCATTTGTTTCCAGTCTATTCTCTTTCTCTGTTGTGTCCATGTTGTTGTTTTCTAACCCCAAAACAGTGTTACTGTTTGGGGTTAGTAAAAATAATCTTTAGCTGAAAAAACAATTAAAGTAAACTTTGTAATACTAAAACTAAAAAACAAAACTGCCAAAATGGAAGAGCCTCTCTCTTCCTTCTGCCAACTCACTTCCTGTAGTGCAACAACTCTAACTCACACTAGAGGGCGTGTCCAGGGTGGTATGGCCGTAAGCGAGAGAGGCTGTCAACAGTTGGCTATTTAAAACAGTCGCAGCACCAGGGACCGAGCGCAGCTCAGCTG